TAAACATGGATCTGCAGGCCGTGCTATGAGATCACTGATGTACAAAGTCCTCTCTTCTCCTCTCCTCTTCTCTCTCGCCTCATCTCTGCAGCATTAGACGGAGAGACTCAATTTAATATTCAATCTAGTTTAGTCTACATGAGAACAGTGAAACTGAGAATGGAATTTAGAGAGCAGTTTTTAATAAGCAATTCATTCTGGGTCCATTACACCTCTGAATCTCTCATCCACATCCCGAGCCTCTCTAGAGCACAAGATGTTCTAGAAAGCCTCACTGTGAAGCAGCGACATTTCTGAATTAAATAATAGAAATGACTCCCTCCCTGATTCCCATAAACACTCCAATTATCGTGAACAATGTGTCTTAATGGACTGTGGATGATATTTGTTTGTCTTTGTGACTTTATGCAAATTATGTGGGGGATTATATAATGCTGATTTAGAAATGAACCAAAATATTCCCCCTGTTCAACTAGTAATGACATGCAAATATCAGGTGTTGACTGTGCATATAAATGAGCTCAGAATTCCATGACTGTGTGAGAATAAAATGTTTTTTTCTTTACCTTTAGTTTTGTGCTTTCCGTGGATGTTTTTTTTTTATTTTTTGTACATATTTGACAAAAGTTGAATAGTTTTTAGCTTTGAACATCATATTTAAATTTGAATATCGCTCTTATATGCGATAATATGTTCTAATATGTTATAGGGAAGTTTTCCTGCAAATATTACCCAGAGCCTGGCACTTTTAAATTTAATTATGACTTTTTGACAACTTTCTCTTGTTTCATAAAGATAAGTATTTTAACTTGAATTATAAATGGAAATTGGAAACACTATTTTTTCACTTTGGCTTTTAGCTTTGCCAACAGAGAAACTGGAGCATATCTTCATTTTAACTCCCTTTTATTGACCACTGGAAGAAAATCTGGGTTAAATTGAATAGGAAAAATGTTTGTATGTGTATAGAGGGATGTGTATGTGTTTGTGTGTTAAAGGACTTTGTCTTCATGACTGAGATCCACTTCACCTTCCTCTCATCTTTACTCCACTAGCTTGATGACTTGCCTGTTGACCTGTGCGTGCTTGTTGTGATATATATTTAAGACTGAAACAGAAAATTGCCATTACAGTGAATAATAATAATGGTAATAATTATAATCATTTTATTATTTTTATTGTTAATATTATTTGAAGCTGGTATTCAGTGAGGTGTTTGGACAAAAGGTATATATGAAAGTCAAAGTAAAAGACTGAAGAGCATTCTTATGTAGTGAAAGCAATCACAGCAGGTTTTGGGTTTCAGTGTGTGTGAATGTGAGACCAGTCCCAGTCCACACCACAGATCCTGTCTGCCTCAGCTTTCAGCTCTTTAATCTATCCATCAGTCTATTAACCCTCCATTTATTGATCTGTAATTGACTCTTTATTTGCACACAATAGATTAATAGAGGACGAGAACCCTGGGTCACATCTTCAGTCTCATTACCTATCTCTCTTCTCTTCTGCCTCAAATGGCAATCTCAAGAGTGTCAGCGTATATTAAGATGAATGCTACAAAGTATAATTTAGTGGGGTTTTAAGCATTTCCACAGTCTGAAGGAATCTTCACCACACCAAAATTAAATATTATTATTATAATTGCATTCCTTTGACTATGGAAATGTTTTATAATGAGCGATAAGATCAGTCATAGCACATGTGATGGATGGATTTAAGGTCAAACATAAGCCTTTGATTCAACAGCATGACATGAAATCGAGATGAACAGAGGCCTTTATATTTGATCTCTACAGTTACTCTGTAATGATACTGTTATACTGTTCATGAATCATATTCAGAGATATCGCTCTAAGCACATAAGCCTTGGTACTGCTTAATGCAAAACTGATGATGCCTCTCTCCTTCATTCGCATTATAAATTAGATGGGACAATGAAGTCTAGACACAAAGTAATGGGAGAGGAGAGAGGGAAACAGGATTCGGAAAGGAACTTGAGCAGGGACTTGAACTCGGGTCACTTTTTATTAAGACAGTAAGAGAGTGAGAGCTCAGAAAAAGGAATAGAATTGGTAGATCAGACAGCATCTTTTGCACTGTGCTGTTTTGCATTATTTATTCTGTTTATTCAGTTGGTTGACACTTTTGACTCAAGTAACTTGCTGTTATTGGATTGCAGCCTGCTGGTGAAGAGGTATTAAAGGTACCGTATACTGTTGTAACAGTGAGATCCTGTGCTAAAATGTAATTTTACACATAAAAGCATAGATAATCCAGCAGTCAATGCTGTTACAGAGCTCTGATTCTCCTGGGAGCCATAAAAGCACAACACTGTGCATGCAATAATGCAGGGCTGTTTTGTAATTGCGGACCTTCTAAGCTGTTTGTGGCATTGTAAGTTAAAATTGTTGCACTAAGCAGACAAAAAAAGTCTTTGTTTTTGTCAATGATTAATGTTAAATGTAACTGAAATTTCTACTGTGAAAGCAAAGCGCTTGTTGCAGAGTAAAGAGATTTGACAATCTTTATCTAACCAAATTTTCTAACCAATAATAATTGTTATAACAATGATAATTTATTAATATTAGAGTAAATGTAAAGTTTACACTGCAAGGTTGGAATGAGAATTGATTGTGTAATTTGAGCCTCTAAAGGTTTCCTTATAGTAGATGTGTGAAGGTTTCTATTTCTATAATTTCTAACAGTTAGTTCCGGTCTTTGAATTTGATTGGCCTAATGACTCAGTAATAAAAATCAGAAACTAAGCTTAACTGATAATACTAAATACAGCGATCTGTAGTACATCAGAAGTGAGTATTTTTGGTGCATGTTCTCAACCAAATGATAATCAGCCTTAGATGTAGCAGACTGATATAACAGTATTAAAGCAAATGAGCAGGAAGTGGTTTGTGCACTACTGAGTCACTGGCAGGCAAGGACTAATTAGTACTTGAAAAAGTAGATTCAAACACTCCCAATACTGCAGGAAAATTTGCTGACAGCTAAAGTGCAGAGATGTGCTGATTTAAATACTAATGCACTCTAGCATAACGGAGCAGATACTGAAAGATGTAATATTTTGTCTCTCACTTCTGAGTAGCTAATAACTGAGCTGCACCACTACTGCCTCCCCCATAGCAGTGGCTCAGCTGAAATACTGCCAATCCCTTTGAAATAATTCCAATGACTTCTATTTAAAAACAAATGATAAGTTATGGAATTTGAACTTATATCAACTCTGTGAAATGGCTCTAAAGTAACCGTTAGACAGACTGATATTGAACTGCTTCAATAAATGCAGTCAGTGTTAATAATTACTGTAACTGATGGATTGCATTTTCATAAACCTATATGTTGCCTGAAATTACGTAATCTATATACTATATGACTACCGTATATAAACTATATACCTATAACTATATAAAAAGGTAAACTTGTTTGAAGTAGTGTAACACATTGATTGCCCTAAGCTGTGCTCTCTTGTAAACAAATGTATTAGCCTGTAATGTCACTGACTAAAACACCTTCCAATTTTTTTTAGTGTTTGTACACATGAAACTTTCTCACACTGGTGACAGTATAACTAGGAAGAATCTGTGCCTGTCCAGGTTCTACAGGTTTACAGTTCAGCTTAGGCAAAATGAAAACAGCCTAAGCACATGCAATATAGATCATGAAATTAGATTGACTGTTTGGGGTCAGTTAAATTCTTTCTTCTTTAAATAAATTAATACATTTATGTAGCAAGAATGCTTTAAATTGATCAAAAGTGACAGTAAAGACATTTTATTATATTACAAAATATTTATTTAAACTTTCTATTCATCAAAACATCCTGAAAAAAGTCTATAATTCTTTACACAAAAATATTAAGTATAGCACAACTGTTTTCAACATTGATAATAATAAGAATATGTTTCTTGAGGACAAAATCAGCATATTTCTGAAGGATCATGTGATATGGCTGCTGAAAATTCAGCTTTGCCATGACTGGAATAAATTATATTTTAACATATATTAAAATAGAAAACTTATTGTAATGATATTTCAGCTTTTCAGCTTTCAGATATACAGCTTTTACTGTATTTAAAAACATTCAAATCTTACCTAAAATAAAATAAAATAAAAATAGTTATGACTATATTCTAAATTGTTTGGCATTTGACACTCCTGCAACTTTCATCCTCTCAGCTCTGTCAAAATGCTTTAGTTCAGGATTTTATTTATAAATATTTTTGTGTTTGACCACACAATACACCTATATTTTGCCATTTGCCATTGAAAGCCTTAACATTTGTGACCGAGAATGCATGCAGCACATAAAAACAAAGCAAAACACAATTTGTGTATGGAAAGGACTATACAGTATTTAGAGTACTACAGTACTTTGACGACTGACAACCTGCTGCTGTGTGAATGTAGCTGTACACACTGTAACTCACACCCTTACTGGACTTCTAGATTTACTGGTTCAGACCTCCTCAGCTGTACAGGGAGTTTGTGTTTAGCTTGTGTTTGTTCAGTCTGTCCATGGAGCACCAATTCAGATTCAGCTGTGAGACACAGGGCTGGTTTCCCAGAAAGAGCTTTAGAGCGAAGACAGAGACGAACAGTCGCTTTGCATTAGGCGAAAACACTCAGGCACAATCAATATCCTGTTTGTGTGTGAGCGTGTGATGGTACACAGGGGATGTGGCTTGTTGCATGTATGTGTGTGTGTGTGTGTTATGGCAAACAACATGATTGCGTGTAAGAGGAAAATGGATAGAAACAATGGCCAAAATATTCAAGAGCAGCTGAGAAGATTTGCATCTCCCTTTGTCCATCTTTAAAAGCCCTCTTTTCCATTCTCATTACTCTCTACTTGTTCTCTTCTTCCCATTTAGTCCCATTTTCACTTGTTCACAGTCTCTCTCTTGCTTAATTTCTTTCATAGTGTGTCCTCTGTTGCTTGTCTGCATGTAAAATCCTCCTCACTCTCTTTCTCTCTGTTTCTCCAGATGAGTATTATCCAGACGGTTGAGTAGAGGGTCCCTCACATCCCACCTGCAGTCATGAATGGTAAGAACACAGCTTTTTTGTTTATCATGGGGATGGATTTTCTTTAAACATATTATACTTTACTTACCTTTATGTATTTTCAAACCCATGTGACTTTCTTTCTTCTGTGGAACTCAAAAGGAGATGTAGCAGAATGTCCAATCTGCTATTTTCCATATACAAACGTGAATGGTGATCTTAAATTTCACTTCATTCCTCATAGAGGTCTAGATGGCTTAAGACATCTTGGAATGTAGTCATATAGACCACTTTTGTGATCCTTTTATTGTGCATATTTGTCTTTTTTGGAGCTTGACAGCCTCTGGTCCCCATCCACTTTCATTTTCTAGAATAGAGCAGCTCAGACAGTCTGCTAAATATCTTTTGTGTTCTTGCAAATGAAAGTCATACAGATTTTGTACAACACGAGTGTGAGTAAATGACAGAATTTTTAAACTTAGTTAGAACTATCCCTTTAAAAGGACGAAGAGGCTCAGACACAGCTCATTAGCAGAGCTGCACTATAAGAAAATCATGAGAGGTTCTGGTGTTGTAGAATCTTCTAAGATTGAACAGACTTTTAGTGATGTCGTTATCAGAATGTTCACATTTTTTAGATTCAGCATAGTGTTTGTACAGAACACACCCAGTTGAAAGCTGCTGACTGCGTCCCTATTTATATAGGGATAGATTAATATTTGCTGCACTCTATTAAGGATTTTGACAGGTTTTTTTCATGAAAACACTTTCAAATTTTTACCTTGAGCTATTTCTGCCTGATCTCAACTTTAAATGTAGTTTTGTAGGAGTAATATTTTTGTAGGTGGTAATATTTTGGATGAAATAAAATACGATAAAAAAAATGTTGAAGACAATAAAAGTGTAACAGGGCAGACGAGACGTGAGGCATGAGGATCCATGTGCAAGCTTTATTTATAAACACGGTCAGAACACAGGCAGGGTCAAACAGAGTCCAAACGACAAGATGAGAGAGAGATCCAAGACAGGCAATAAACTTCAGGGCAGGTAGAGATCAGACAAGATGAGAAAACAGGCTAAGATCAAAACACGGGTAAACAGAATATGAACAAGACTAAACTCTAACTCTGGGATCACGGGATGGCTTGGTAAAGCAGCTAACACTAGGAGAGTGATAAATGCAGAACAACCCTCGGCGACTTGAGCAGGATCTGAGTAGGTTATATAATGTGTGTGTAATGGCTTTCAGGTGCGCGTGTGATTGGTTACAGCTGTGTGCAATCAGTGCAATGGATGATGGAAAATGTAGTGCAGGGTATAGTGTAACAGTCTGTGTTGTGTGAGAGTCCATGTAATGAGCGGGTGACCTCTGGTGGTGAGTGAACAGAAGTTCATAGACCGGATTCGTGACAGAGCCCCCCTCCAAGGAGCAACTTCCAGATGCTCTAAACATTACACAATCGAGGAGGGAGGTGGAGCGGAGGCGGAACAGGGGGAGGGATTGAGGGCCAGGTCCATGTAAAGGTGTAAGACCCTGAGGCAGGACCGGCAAAACAGAGGACCATGATGGAGCCGGCGGAAGGGGTGGAGCTGAGGACCACCACAGCAGAGCAGACGGGTCCAAGGATCTCCACGGCGGAGCAGGAGACCACCAGAGCAGGACAGAAGACGACTTTCTTTCTTCTGTGGAACTCAAAAGGAGATGTAGCAGAATGTCCAATCTGCTATTTTCCATATACAAACGTGAATGGTGATCTTAAATTTCACTTCATTCCTCATAGAGGTCTAGATGGCTTAAGACATCTTGGAATGTAGTCATATAGACCACTTTTGTGATCCTTTTATTGTGCATATTTGTCTTTTTTGGAGCTTGACAGCCTCTGGTCCCCATCCACTTTCATTTTCTAGAATAGAGCAGCTCAGACAGTCTGCTAAATATCTTTTGTGTTCTTGCAAATGAAAGTCATACAGATTTTGTACAACACGAGTGTGAGTAAATGACAGAATTTTTAAACTTAGTTAGAACTATCCCTTTAAAAGGACGAAGAGGCTCAGACACAGCTCATTAGCAGAGCTGCACTATAAGAAAATCATGAGAGGTTCTGGTGTTGTAGAATCTTCTAAGATTGAACAGACTTTTAGTGATGTCGTTATCAGAATGTTCACATTTTTTAGATTCAGCATAGTGTTTGTACAGAACACACCCAGTTGAAAGCTGCTGACTGCGTCCCTATTTATATAGGGATAGATTAATATTTGCTGCACTCTATTAAGGATTTTGACAGGTTTTTTTCATGAAAACACTTTCAAATTTTTACCTTGAGCTATTTCTGCCTGATCTCAACTTTAAATGTAGTTTTGTAGGAGTAATATTTTTGTAGGTGGTAATATTTTGGATGAAATAAAATACGATAAAAAAAATGTTGAAGACAATAAAAGTGTAACAGGGCAGACGAGACGTGAGGCATGAGGATCCATGTGCAAGCTTTATTTATAAACACGGTCAGAACACAGGCAGGGTCAAACAGAGTCCAAACGACAAGATGAGAGAGAGATCCAAGACAGGCAATAAACTTCAGGGCAGGTAGAGATCAGACAAGATGAGAAAACAGGCTAAGATCAAAACACGGGTAAACAGAATATGAACAAGACTAAACTCTAACTCTGGGATCACGGGATGGCTTGGTAAAGCAGCTAACACTAGGAGAGTGATAAATGCAGAACAACCCTCGGCGACTTGAGCAGGATCTGAGTAGGTTATATAATGTGTGTGTAATGGCTTTCAGGTGCGCGTGTGATTGGTTACAGCTGTGTGCAATCAGTGCAATGGATGATGGAAAATGTAGTGCAGGGTATAGTGTAACAGTCTGTGTTGTGTGAGAGTCCATGTAATGAGCGGGTGACCTCTGGTGGTGAGTGAACAGAAGTTCATAGACCGGATTCGTGACAGAGCCCCCCTCCAAGGAGCAACTTCCAGATGCTCTAAACATTACACAATCCAGGAGGGAGGTGGAGCGGAGGCGGAACAGGGGGAGGGATTGAGGGCCAGGTCCATGTAAAGGTGTAAGACCCTGAGGCAGGACCGGCAAAACAGAGGACCATGATGGAGCCGGCGGAAGGGGTGGAGCTGAGGACCACCACAGCAGAGCAGACGGGTCCAAGGATCTCCACGGCGGAGCAGGAGACCACCAGAGCAGGACAGAAGACCCCTACGGCGGAGCAGAAGACCACCAGTACCAGGCAGAAGACCACCACGGCGGAGCATACGGGTCCGAGGATCCCCACGGCGGAGCAGAAGACCACCAGAGCAGGACAGAAGGCCACCACGGCGGAGCAGACGGAGCAGGAGCCCACCAGTGCAGAGCAGACAGGGCAGAATACCTCCACGGCGGAGCAGACGAGTTGGAGCCCACCAGTGCGGAGCAGACAGGACAGAAGACCTCCATGGTTGAGCAGGAGCCCACCAGTGTGGAGCAGACAGGGCAGAAGAACTCCACGGTGGAGCAAACAAAGTTGGAGCCCACCAGGGCGGAACAGAAGAGTACCATGACGGAACAAGCTGATCAGGAACCCACAGCAGAGATTGGAGCTTAGGAAAAACTGAGACACAGAAAACAGAGAGAGCATATACAGTCTCAAGGACCGGGCTAGGACCACAAGAAGTTCATTAACCGTTTCCCTGGTGACAAATGAGCAGGCAGACAATTCATAAGCAAGCTCATTTACTGAAACTGGACTAACAGACAGTTCAATATCTGATTCATTGACTGGAATGGGACAGGAAGACAGTTCAAAATCATGCTCTTTGACCAAAACTGGATAGGCCGATAATTCACCCTCAGGTTCATTGATTGAGAATGGACAGACAGACATTTCAGAATCAGATTTAACTGCAGAGTTTAAACCAACAGACAGTTCAGAATTGGATGCATTGACTGACACTGGATTGGCAGACAGTTCAGTGATTGAAGCAGGATAAACAGATTGTTCATAATCGGGTCCCTTGACTGTAACTTGACAGACAGACAGTACATTGACAGAACCTGGCAAGACAGACGTCTTTGATTTCGAACCATTAGTTGAGACGAGACGGAGAGACAATTCACCATCAGCCACCATGGCTGGTTCAGAAATGACCTCCTCAGCCAGTTCAGAGTAAGATAAAAGTTCATAAATGGCCTCCGTAGCCTTGACAGGACAGGCAAAGAGTTCACGGACGGCCTCAATAGCCGTGACAGAACGAGAGTTCATAGATGGATACCACTGACACCTCTGAAGGTTCTGCAGCAGATGCCGCCACCTCTGGAGGTTCTACAGTAGTAACATTAGGAAACAGGTAGAGTTCATTAACTTTCTCCTAAGCTGGACAGGTACAGTGTTCATCAATGGTTCCTTTGACCGCGACATGACAGGCTGAAAGTGCATTGCTGGGCACCACCACTGTACAAGGAGCTGAAGCGAGCACCGCCGCTTCGGGAGGTTCTGCAGCATGAGCCACCACCTCTGGAGAAGCTGCAGCGAGTGCCATCGCCTCAGAGAACACAGCAGCGAGCGTCACTACCACAAGAGGTTCTGCAGCATCAGCCGCCACCTCTGGAGACATCACAGTGGACATCGCCACCTCGGCCAGATCTGTGGTGGTGTATGCAGCCCAAACGCAACATAAAGCGATCCCCATCATGGGAAGCACTTTAGACAGGGGAATTAGTTCAGGAACAGAAGGTTTAGAGTGAGTGGGTTTTGGGGATACCTGTGCGAGCAGACACCAGCGGTGCATCCCTCACACTAGATACCAGACTGGTATACTGAAGGACTGACCTTGAAGATCTGGGTGCAACAAACAGGATGTGACGTGACTCTGGATGAACAGCTGTGATGTGACGTGACTCTAGAAGATCAGCTGAGACTTGATTTGACTCAGGAATTGAAACTGTGACCTGACTTGCCTCATGACGATCAACTGTGACTTGACTGGACTCATGA